TAATATTATTTACAGACTTGAACAGAAAATTTACATATATCTATTGCAGCGATATTTATTAGCCTGGTACCGGTCAGAGTCGGAATCCGAATCAAGACTTTCCAAATTAATGAACCTATTGTTTGAATTGAGGTTCATAAGCGACCTGGAAAAAATGGATATTAAATCTTGCACACAAAATTATGGACCATTATTTAATGAAATTTCAATATAAAACATGTAATTAAACAATGCATATGATACAAGCAAATTGAACAAATTGAAAACTTGGTATCGTTTTTGGAGATAAAACAATAATTTAATGTAATTTGTAACTTGTAATTATTTATTGTAATTTGTTTTAATTGTTCTGGGTTTCACGTATCTCCCGGTATCTATTTGCATTCAATAAAGTTAAACTTAAACTTATCAGGGACGAGTGTGCGTCCGTCACGTAAATGAAGACATGAAGACTTGAATGAAGACATGAAAAGTGGAAAATGTGTTGAATTACTCGCTATTGAGTCGAGCAATGGGTCGCAACTAATGGAGAAATTAAATCAGCACTCAATTCACGCTAATACTGATGGCCTGACTGTACAGCTAATTGAATGTGAAAAATATGTGACAAATTGCACACAATATAAGAGTTTGATAAATAAATTGTTGGTTAGATGTGAGATAAATCCCGTATTCAACGAATTCACAGACTATCACACGTTCAATAAATTGGAAAATACACGCATTTCGGAGTTAACCACTGCCACCAATATATTCAATTATCCCGTAACCAAAAATCTTATATACTTAAGGGACAAGGTGCAGATATACCGTATGACCAGGATCAGGGTCGAGGACCTAATCAGGGATATCATCAAATTTTGTAAAAGTCTCGTTTCATTCACAAATACCTGTCCAGAGAATCAGTTATCGCTAGTCAAGAATGGATGCATGAGTTTGCTTTGCATGCGATTCTTGGCTTATTATAACGTGGATAAAACAATGTACTACCTCTATTTGGTGAGTTATAATGTAGCAATAATAATATTGTGATAATCTCATCTATCGTATTATCAAATTAAGTAATATAAGATTAATATTAATTAATTTAGTTAATAATTGTTGTTTATTAACTAAAATCAAATTTATAATTTTATAGGATACCGAAAACACACTGTTACTTAAATTGAATGATATGACTTTTGATAAACCAGAATATTCCACAGTTCGTGAAAGGATCCTGAGGGAAATATCTACAGAATTAAACAACGATTCAATTGTCATGGATTTGGTATAAATTTAATGTAACCTAGATATATAATTAAGTTTTATAAAAATATTTTTATTTATACTTTGTATTAGCTAACGGCAATAGTATTATTTAATCCGCATCAACAGAATTTGAGACATGCACAAAATATTAAGTATTAAATATTTTTACATTTTATTTGAATATTTTTAAAAATTAATTATTTGTTCCCTGGTATTTAAATAGACTGGACCAACAATTGTATATTTATTTACTTCAGAGATATTTACTATTGAAATATCGGTCAAAATCTGAATCACAATTAAAACTGAAAAGACTGATGGAGTTGTTGATTGAATTTAATACGATATCCAATATGCGAAGGGCTGTCCACTCTAAACAAATGATGGAAAGCCTACAATATTGCGGACCACTCATGAGAGAGGTTTATGGCATTCAATGATAAAATTATTGTTAATTTGTATAAATCAATAGTTTGTAATATAGTTTTTTCTAAAGTATTATTAAATATTCAATGTAAAAATTATATTTTATTAAATTACATTAAATTAATATTTTTTATAGTGAATGTATAGAATCTAAACTATAGACAGACATGTATTATACAATGTAAATGAGATTAACTTAACGATAAAAATAATTTCGCGAAATAATGTTTGCGAATTATGGCTAAAACTGACTATCGATCTAAACTTGATAATTGTTGAGCAAATTTGTTTTATTATTGTTACTAATGAATAGGATTACACTTTAAATGAATGGAGTTTATTCTAAATCCAATATCATTAGTTGCCACACTTGCCCCTTGTTAGTTCACCTTGATTATGTTAAGAATAGTTCATCGATGTACTCGATCATGCACAGATGTCGACTGCATTTTGTGTTTTCACTTTATTGCAACATTCGCATGATAATGAAATCAGTTTATTTTCTTAGTAATCAAATATATTTTAAACACATTATTCAATATGTAACTAGTATAAATTTCATAATATATTGTTAAATTATAATATGTTTAACCATACTCAAACAAATACTCAATTCCTGTGAAGTAACAGAATATAATTTTGTGAATATTTTTTATAATGAGCGCTAATATAATGGTCAGAGTATGCGAAGTTTGTGGTGACACCAAAGGGATCGGTATTAATCAATATTAAACATAAATAATTTACCAAGTTCACACCCATTTTAACGTTTAAGGTTGTAATTACACCAGAATTACGTGCGAATCGTGTAAAACTTTCTTTAGGAGAGTTTGTCTCAAAACAAAGGTAACAGTAATTTGTGAATTATTTTGAATTAATTTTTATTTTAATAAATATTGGCTGTGAATAGCCGTTGGGCTGCCCTTCCGATGGAAAGTGCAGAATAACACCCATTACTAGAAAATATTGCGCCAAATGTCGACTCGCAAAGTGTTTGGAGGTAGGAATGAGACAGGTGAATAAGCATGACATATTACCATAAAAATATTGCTATTAATATATCTGATTGTATTTGTATTTTTTTAATAGAAATTCAAACAGAAGTACAATAAGAGAAAACTATTGGTCAATAATAATGCCGTGAATATGAATGAAGTAATTAATAGCGAAAGTTGTGTTGATTTACTCGCAAAGGATTCCTGTAATGAATCGCAAGAATCCGATAAATTAACCCAAGATTTCTGTATAAATACTGATGACCTGAATGTTCAGATCATAGAAAGTGAAGACTATTTGACAAATAACACAAAATCTGAGACTTTACTACAGAAGTCATGGAATCGTATAATAATTCCCGTATTCAATGAAATGACAGACTATAGCACTTTGAATGAATTAGAAAATAATCGTATATCAGAGTTAACCACTGCCACCAATATATTCAACTACCCGGTAACTAATCATATTATAGGAATTAGTGACAGAATGCAGTTAAATCGTGTATCCAAAGCTAGACTAGAGTATCTTATCAGGGATACCATCAAATTTAGCAAAAGTCTTGTCTCATTTGCAAACACCTGTCCTGAGGATCAGTTATCACTGATAAAGAATGGTTGCACTGAAATGTTAAGCATGAGATTCTTGGCGTATTATAGCGTCGATAAAGAAATGTACTATGTCAATTTGGTGAGTTCATGAGAATTTAATTTGATAATGCTAAATCAAATTAATTATTAAGTATCATTTATGAAATATACTAAACAAGTGTAATTACAGGATAACAAAACCACACTCCGGGTTAAATTGGACCAGTTGAGATTTGATAATCCAGAATATTTTACATGTTATAAAAGATTCCTGGCTGAAATATCGACAGAATTAAACAGCGACCCAATAGTTATGGATTTGGTATGCTCTAGGATCTATAATATGGTTGTCAAATAATACTTTGTATTTATAAATTATCTAGCTAACGGCAATAGTACTATTTAATCCGAATCGACAGAATCTGATACATAAACAAAATATTAAGTATGTTTGAACCTTGATGAATATGAATCTATTTAATAGTTTTTAATGTTAATTAACTTTAAATTGTAACAGGCTTGAGCAACAATTGTATATCTATTTACTACAGAGATATTTACTATTGAAATATCAATCGCAACCTGAATCACAATTAAAACTGAAAAAGTTGATGGACTTGTTGTTTGGTTTAATTGAGACTTCAAATATGCGTAAAGCCGCACATTATTCAGAAATGTTGGAAAGCCTACAATATTGCGGACCTCTTGTGAGAGAAATCTATGGCTTATAAAGATATCGATTAGCGATTAAATATTCTTTACAAGCAAATCATTATTTTATAAATAATCATAAATGATAATTTAACTATAATAAATTGTATGACGAATACATTTGAAAATGTTATAATAAAATATTTAATTTAAAAAATAAAATTGTAGGTATGATTTTAATAACATACTGATTAATTGTATAGTAATATAAGGGCTTAGCAGTTGATATAGAGAAAATTATTTATTATTTTGTTAATACATTATCAAATTGGGTACTCTAGATAAAAAAGTATAGATACAAAGTGGTTGTCAATGAAATACTTGCACTACATATACGTAAGAAATTTAATTTATTTCTTCAGTGCATAATTAGTGTAACGCTATAATTATGATTATAACCAAAATGTACTCTAATATAAGCAAAATATTATACAGTATATATTTGTAGATATTGTTTCATATGTTTGTTTTAAAATCAAAACATTGTATACAATTATAGAGATGAGTACAAAACAAGTAATCACAATTTGTCAGATATGTGGTGATAGAGCATCAGGTAAATGCCATAATTTTCATTGAATTTCTTCAACAAATAAATAAAATTTTATAATTAATTATTTTTAGGCAGAAATTTCGGAGGAATTTCGTGCGAATCGTGTAAAGCATTCTTCCGGAGGACTGCCCTCAAGAATAAAGTAAATAAATACTAATTAATTGTATCATTAGTTACAGATTTTTAAAAAATTACTTCAATAGGACCCTAAATGTCACGAAAATAAAAATTGCAAAATAGAGCCAAAAGGGAGAAAGTGTCCAAAATGTCGACTCAAAAGGTGCTATGACTATGGAATGAGAAAGGTAAGTTTACGGATTATATTTTAAATTATTATTAAATCATTTTAATTTATTAAACAGGAATTTATTAAATGTTTGGATAGAAGTGACAAAAATAGTATAATAGTAGAAATGAAGCCACAAATGACTGAATCTATTGATAGCAGTAATGAGTACTCACTTCCTATGCCCAGTGAAAGTGACTTTTTCTTAAAGGTTTTCGACAATACTGTCACTAACGACGACCTGAACGCCGAGATCACAGAAATTGAAAACTATTTGTCAAACTCTGAAAGCAGTTTACAAGACATGGACACAAATACAGCAAACACTGGCTATCAGTCATCGATCCACGCATTTGTATCAATCATTCACATCAAAGAATTCAATGAATTGGAGACCAATCGACTGTTGGAGTTGTTTAGCGCCGCCAATGTATTCTTCAGATCTATATTACCGATCAGATCCGAGATAACCAGCCTCCAGGAGCTCGACCACATGGACCCCTATTTACTCCACAATTCCGCCGTTTCTATCATAGATTTTGCTAAAAATCTGAGTTTATATGAAAATCTGTATAATGAGGACAAACACGCACTCGTCAAGTATGGATGGTCTGATGTCAGGCTATTGCGATCCCTTTCCTACTTTAATTATGAAAGTCAATGTTGGACTGTTAACATGGTAATACGTGATAGACTCATACAGTACATTTACCATATAGTAACGTGTTTTAATTATAATTTAATGCTTAATTATTTTCATAATATACGAACAGAAAAATGATACTTCAGCTACACTTAAATTGAGCTTGATACGACCACTTACAAGCGGTAATTACACAGTGATCGAGGCATTCATAAACTCTTTAATGAGTCAATCGGATCGCGATTCTGTGATACTAGATTTGGTATGATTTTAAAAAATATTTAGCATATTAGTTTAATGTTAATTAATTAGATATTTACTTATAGTTAACAGCAATCGTATTTTTTAATCCAAATCGACCCAAAGTATCCCATAGAGAAATTGTCAGGTAAGTCATACATAATAGGAATTCACATTGATCAATTAAAATTATTGCATATTACTGTATATAGACTCCAACAGTATATTTACATGTATTTACTTCAACGCTATTTATATATAAAATATGGTTCGGAATCGCAAACTAAATTTGATTTAATGATGAATCAACTCATGAAGTTGGAGTTTGTACACAATATGTGCCGTGAGCAAGGATGTTTGATATCGCCTATCATTTATAATAATCAGCTCATTAAGGACCCCTTTATAAAAGAGTTGCTTGATCCTGATGATTAAATTTATATTTATTGAAAATGTTAATCAATTTGAATATGGATAAATTTCCTTTACTCAAAAAATTTCTTGATTAGTATAAATTTATTTCTACCTGAACATATTGTATACTAACAGTGTAATTAATTTTAATTTAAACAGAGATCTAAATTACTAATATCATGCTAATTGCTAATAATATGTTTAAAAATAACTAAAAATTAAATGCACCATATTTTTATTTTACTAGAATTATAAAAAAGACTTAATGCACTATGATCTATATATAAATCATATAAATTATATAAATCATTAATGATAATATTAAAATATATTCACGATTTTCTAATAATAATCACAAATTTATTTGACACTTTATATTTTGTATTTCACATTGAAAATGAATAAAGGTCTCAATATTGGTTTAATGATAACAAGAATTTATTGTTTTGTTTATATAAAATTAAGTACTCTAGATAAGTTGTCTTTTAAGCACCACATACTGTATATAAATGTTATATTAATAACACATACATAAATGTTATATAAATTAACCATTTTAAATATATATTTAATTGTATTTTCAAGGACTTCGACGAGGAAAGCAGTCATTAACTTAAGGTATTGGCAATTATTTATATAAATTATAAATTGTTTAATTCAGTTGTGTTTGTAATTAAAATATAATTATAAAACGTCCAAAATGTACTAAAATATGAACAAATTGTTATTTATTGTAGTTTTGGTTTAATATTTTTGAATTCAATTGAACACAAACATATTGTCTAATATATGAGCGATGAGTACTAAAAATAGTGGTAAAATTTGTCTAATTTGCGGTGATATAGCTTCAGGTACAGTATACTAGTATACCAAAAATTCATATGAATTTTAAAATTTATGTACATATTGTCTAATATATGAGCGATGAGTACTCAAAATAGTGGTAAAATTTGTCTAATTTGCGGTGATATAGCTTCAGGTACAGTATACTAGTATACCAAAAATTCATATGAATTTTAAAATTTATGCAATAATTTATAATTAAATGCTATTAAAGGTAGAAATTTTGGGGGACTTTCTTGCAACTCGTGTAAAGCATTTTTTAGGAGGACTGCACTCACGGATAAAGTAAATAAATACTCATTAATTGTCTAATAAATAAATATCTTATCATTTGCTATAACAGGTCCAAAAATGTCATAGAAATCAAAATTGCAAAATTGAGCCAAAGGGCAAGAAATGCAGAAAATGTCGACTCGACAGGTGCTATGCCTCTGGTATGAGAAAGGTAAGTTAAAATTAAAATAGTAACTATTGTTATGAATTGTATTTGATTTATTTTTAATAGGAATTCATACGATGTGTAGACGAGAGTCAGAAAAATAAAGTAATAATTGAAACGAAGCAACAAATGAATGAATCTATTGATAGCTATAATGAGATGTCTATTCCTATACCAAATGAAAGCGACTTTTTCTCAGAGGGTTTTCACTCAAATATCTGTAACGATGATCTGAATGCCGAGATCATAGAAATTGAAAACTATTTGTCAAACTCTGAGAACAGTTCACAAGACGTGGACACAAATACTGGACATACAGGCGATGTATCAGTGAATCTCATACTTAAGCCAATAATACATTTCAAGGAATTCAATGAATTGGAGACCAATCGACTGTTGGAGTTGTTTAGCGCCGCCAACGTCTTCTTCACGAAATTATCGCCGATTAGGTCAGAGATAACTGACATCCAGGAGCTGTTGTATCACGTCAACACAAATCTGTTGCAACAATCAATCACATCCATCATTAGTTTCGCACAGAATCTGAATTCATGCGATAATCTGTATAAAGAGGACAAACAGGCACTCGTCAAGTATGGGTCATCTGAACTCAGACTATTGCGATCCATTTCCCTCTTTAATTATGAGGCTCAGTGTTGGACATTTAGAATTGTAAATAGTTGCATACATCTTACCTTGTTATAACTATTACTAATACGGATTTATATGAATATTTACAGAATAATGACAGTTCAGCTATACTTAGACTAAACTGCTTGCGACAGCTCCCTACAAGTGATTATTATACGGGGGTTGAGGCCTTCATGAACTCGTTTGTGTGTCAATGGGATCGCGATTCTGTTATTTTAGATTTGGTATAAATTTGTAGTTATTTAAAGTTACTTATAATTTATAAATTATATTCCGATAAACCTATTTATAGTTAACAGCGATCGTATTTTTTAATCCAAATCGACCCAGATTGTTTCATAAAGAAATTATAAGGTAAAGAATCACAGAATCAAATAGTAGCTAACGTTTAATAATACAAATTCATATCTATTATATAGATTCCAGCAATATATTTACATGTATTTACTTAAACGCTATTTACTGATAAAATATGGCTCAGAATCGGAGGCAATATTTGCTAAATTTATGAACCAACTGATGCACTTAAACTACTTGAGCAAAGTGAGCCAGGAGACATACCAAGGACTTGTCACCATTAAAACTCACACTATTGTAGATCACTATATAAAAGAGTATCTTGATGGGTTTAATTAATTAATTATTTACTTTCCATAATATGCATCATTCACCAAGTTATAAAAATTTTGTTTAATCTATAAACATAACTGTGAATTGTATAAAATTTATTATATTGTAGCATGGGTATTGAAGTTTTATTTTAAAACAATTTAAATATTCTGAGTTTTGAAATTATGCACCAGAATATAACAAGCAAGAAATGATATTTTATTAAAATAGTATTTTGAGCAATATTTTCATATACTTTATTTTATAATCAAACAAATAATTTTTAAATTTTCATAAGAGGTCCATAGAGAAAAATGAAATTAAGGTTTAAATGTTTGTAATTTGTATTTTTATAATTTATAATGTTATATACAGACATATTTGGATTTATACAGACATACTGTATCTTATGTTCAAATAATATGTGAACAGTATATCTCTTACTTACTTTTTAATGTCATAAAGTTTATGAGCCAACATTTGTAGCTCATTAGAAAATTATAATTAGAACTGTATGTATTATAATGTACTACAGTAATAAGTTTGCAAAAGTAATTTTTTAATTGACCTTACAATTTAGAAATTATTTATAAAATAAGATAAGGTTGTCAAGCACATAGATAAGAAAATAAGTTACATATAATAATTTGGGAATTTAGACTGTTTTAGCATTTATTGAAACACTATGATTTAAAAGTGAAATTGTATTTAATTACAGTTTGTTTGCTAAATGTAATGCATGTGAAATATAAATGTGGAAAGTGGGAAATAAAATAATTATATAACATACTTTCTCAAATAAATATATTAAAACTCTGATTATAAACATGGATGGCTTAGTGACCAATAAAAATATAAATCAACTATATTGCGATATTTGTGGAGATAGTGCAATAGGTAGAGTATAAACTTATTTTAAGCTAATATTATTGTTAAATTATTTGATAACAAACAAATAAATAATTATATCAAGGTAAAAACTTCGGGGCCATTACCTGCTCATCGTGCAAGACTTTCTTCAGACGGATAACCGCAACAAATAAAGTACTGTATTCACTATAATCATTCAAATTGATAATATGTGACTAAACATGAACTTATTATTAGGAAGTCAAATGTTTACTAGGTGAAAATTGCCAGACTACTCCCATAACACGGAGATTCTGTTCAAAATGCAGATTAAGAAAGTGTTACACAATAGGCATGAAAAGGGTTAGCATTTGAAATATTTGATATTATTTGCTAGTATTTATTTTACTATACATTTTGTATGTAATTATTCTATAGGGGAATATAATGAATGATAAACAGCAAGAATTCAAGCAATTAGTTGCCAATGAAAACCGAAAAATTAGACAAAATAAGGCAAAAATGACAAACAATTTGGTGGCAATTACAGCTACACCTCATAATAATAATGACAATAAAGTTACTGAAATATCAAGTAATAATAATCAAGTAATAAATAATAATAACATAAATTCTGTGGTGAGAGTGACTCCCATTCCCATACAAATCAATAACAATAGGAATACATGGAATGAGTTGGAAAGCTATAGACTAATGGAGTTATTCAATGCAATCAATGAATATAAGTATGAATTCATTGAATCTAATGTCGAGATCACGACACACAGTGATATGAGTCGTGCTATTTGTATGAAATACGAGGGAGAAGTGAAAACCGCTATCAGACTGTCCAAGAGATTGAAAGCCTATGATCAGCTCTGTGACGATGATAAGATTGAGCTGGTTAAGTATGGGTACCTTGATATATTCCTCCTGAGATCAGTGCTCACTTTTAATTTTCAGACTCAATACATCAAATTATTCATGGTAATTCATAGAAATATGCTAATTAACCCTCATAACATTGTAATATAAATGTAATTTGTATTGCATATTAGGAAAATAATCACTCAATTCTGGTAAAACTTGATTTATTAAAAGCAAATAAACGCAACTTTTATGAACTTTATAAAAATTATTTATACACTCTGGGACCTGAGGTTCAGGCAAATTCAACTATTATTGACTTGGTAAAATTAATACTATATTACTGAAGCATTGACAGTTTAACTAAAAATATTCTTACTTCCTATTTAGTTAACAGCGATTGCCCTGTTCAATCCAAACAGATCAAACCTTATCAATAAAAATATTGTTAAGTTAGTTGAATACAGTATTTTTAATAAATACCTAAATTAATTATTAATTGTATATTTATAGACTCGAGCAGCAAATCTACATTTATTTATTAAAGCGATATTTACTACAAAATTATCGGTCAGAAAGTGAGGCCAATTCGAGACTAAAAAGACTTTTAAATACATTTCAAGAGTTGCAAGTTTTGGGTGAAATTCAAAGGAAAAACTGTTTTGAAACTATAGCTCAATATATGGGCCCACTATTGAGAGAAGTGTTTAATATCAACACAAATGCATTAAACTAAGTAATTGTTAATTGTTTTATTTAATTAGTATAATCAAAACGTGCAATCAATATTGATTAAATTTTTTTATATAATTTGAGTGCAATATATGCTATATTTGATTACTGTACATAATGTTCAAAATAATTAAGGTTTCACAAATAAAAATAAATTGATGTTTGATGTAAATAAAATCTAATCAATACTATTCATGGTATTAATTTATTATAATACAGTATTACAATAGTAAATAAATGTGTTTAAATATTATTATTCCCAGAAACTCATATTGTGAATAGATATTAATTATACATTAAGTTTAGTTGCAACTGTACTTAAATGTGCACCCTGATTTAGTGCTAATTTATTCAAGATTGTTTAATTAATAAATAATCAAAATATACACTCTTAATGGTTATTAATTAGGGTGAATATAATTATAAAAATATTAATTTTAATTATTTTGCCATGTTAAACATTAATAGTACGTAATTAGCCAGTTGTTTACGTAAGTGCATTCAAACTAAAAATATAAAAATACAATTTATATAGTAGATTCATAAAATAATCAATGAATATACTTGGCTATGATTAATTCACACCCCACCCCACCAATTCACTGAATAAACATGCACAAAATAGTCACCAAAACCGCATAAACATTTTATCATAGATATCATGTGATACATGCCTATTATCTAATAAAAAATATTGAGAGCACTTCTGCAAATAGTATTAATGATAACCCAGGTTCTTTAGCACTTGAAAACGGTATCGCTAGTGCGTTATGTACAGTGTATTACAGTGCCTCACATAACGCAGAATCCGCAGTACAGACTGCACTGAAACAGTATTTTCATAGGCTATATACTGTAATCGTTTCGTAAAACTTTTCTAGGTAATTAATTTGCGTAAAAAAACTTCATGACTTTATAAATAAGTATTTATTTTCATTGAGTTCACAAGAATATAACGTGTCAGTGAATTGTATAATACAGGTGTTTTTTCCCAAATTACATACACTTTCATACAGGACTTTAGGTGTAGTTTAGGTGTAAGGATATTGTTTGCATTTATCTAAACTTCTGTGTTATCACAACGGATAGTCAATATAAATACAATATTACGATTGGACTACGATAAAACTACAACAATATTATTAAATTTGAATTTTACATTTATTTGTGCCTGATGGTTAAATTCATTTTCATTGGAAATGCCTAAAAAACGAGAGCCAAAAATATGTGGCGTTTGTGGCGGTAAAGCAATTGGTAAGTGTTGTCAATATTTAGAGATTTATAGATAAATTTCAAAATTATTTCCATAATTATCTATATATTTTAGACAATTTTCAATTAAAGTTAGTAAGATTTTAATAATGCAAATAATACAACTTAATTTATCCTGTTTAGCCAAAAACTTTGGTGCAATGAGTTGTGGTCCGTGTAAAGCGTTTTTCCGTAGGAATGCCATTCAAAACAGAGTATATAATTATAAATAAGTTTTTATTTATTGATATCTCCCTAACCCACAATTTGCCTTGTTTAGTTCAAGTGTCAGTTCAGTGAGCAATGTAAAATCGATGTCATAACACGAAAATTTTGCCCCAAGTGTCGACTCATTAAATGCTTTGCTATCGGAATGAATAAAGTATTGATTTATTTATCATACCTTCAAATGTGTGAGACTTTTCATAAAACAAATGAAATTATATTTTTAATCTCAGGAATGGATTCTGAATGACGAACAGAAAGAAGTGATTAAAAAGAGGTTACAAGAGAACAGACAATTGAAACTCATGTCACAAAAAGTGGACAATTCTGTCGCCAATTCGTGCGATTCCTTAACAGAATCGTCGGATACTAACGACTCAAACAGCAGTAAGAATTGTGACTTAAAAGTGTCGCAATATATGGAAAGGGATGTGTGTTTTAAATCTCAAGAATTCATTGATAATAATGACAATTATTATGATAACTCTGGAACTCATTCATCAAATGGTTGTGACATAACTACAAACTCATCAATGATTGCAATTTGGCGTCCGATCACTGATTACAGCAATACTTTCAACGAAAGGGAAAGCATTTATTTATCGGAGTTACTGTCGGCTATGGATATGATTAGAGATCCTGTGCCTACCAATGCTCAGGATTTAACATCATTTGAGGAGATCCACAGAATAATGACACTGCGACTGGATATGGGTGTCCGGGACATCATAAAAGTGACCAAAACTTTGAGTGCATTTCAAAGCGTCTCAGAAACCGATAGATATATTCTCGTGAAGTATAGCTGCGTTGAGATCTGCCTATTGAGGTCTGCCCTCGTGTTTGACTACCAGACAGAGTACTGGACTGTATTTATTGTAAGGTTTTAAAATTTAAATGATATTTGTAGAAAGGTAACTTTTGTTTTTTAAATAGAATAATGAGGAGTCGTTTTGCATGAAACTGGATGTCATAAAACACAGCTCCTTAGCCGTGTATAACGCGTACAAAAAGTATTTGATAAAAGCAAAAGTCGAGTGCAAGTTTGATTCACTTATTTTTGACCTGGTAATAAAAAAGTATTATGTATCTAATTACTAGCAAATTTTAATTAACCTTAAATTAATCTATAACATAGTTAGTGGCAATCACACTGTTTAACCCAAACCAACCCAACCTAATACAAAGGCATGCCATACAGTAAGTGAAGTAATAAAGCATTTATTATCATATTTTATGAATTTATGTGATTCTGTATTAGGTTTCAGCAGAAAGTATACCTCTATTTGTTGAGACGATACATGCAATTGAAGTACCGATCGGACGGCGGCATCAAATATGCGAAGATATTGAATGTATTAAACGATTTACACCTTTTAGGACATTTGCAGCGACAGAGCGGTTCCCAAAAGGATCCCAAACAGTTGGGACCACTACTCACCGAGGTCTATGACACGAATAGTCACACCCCAGTCAATCATATGAATTAAAATTATATATATACTTTATGTATATTTTAGTTTTCATTTTTAATTATTTATTTCATTATTGTATACATGATAAATAATACTATAAGTAACTCATTGTTTCATTTTAGCAATTATTTTATGAAATAAAATAATTATAATTTGCTGTATCATAATAATGTCGTATAAAATTATCCATTTTATTAAATATTATCAAAAATGTGACAAATATGGTCAATTATTTGAAATATTATGTAAAACGTATGGTTAAGTTAGAGGGATGTACTATTGTGATTATTTTATAAGTTAACAGTGAATTGAATTATTTTACAGTGCATTTAGTATATATTATATAATATTAATACAAAATGTAAACTATTCAATAATCTACTGAACATCAGTTTATTCAAATATTGCTCAATTATTCTGTGATTGCTTTCATGAATATGCAATTTTGTTAAACGCAGTAAGGTTATTCAAAAATATAATTACCGATTTTATATAATTGTTTAAGTTTATTTATATAGTTGGAGCATATTGTTTTAAATTAATATTGAAATAATGACACAATATGCTATGATACAATTTATTAAAGTTATAATAGATTAGTAAGTGCATTTAAGGTGCATTGGGCTATTACAATCAAATGTGTAAATTACCACGTTGAAAGTATAATATAAAAACACGATTACTTACTAATTACAAGTAATGAAATTTAAATATAAAATATAAATTGCATTATATTGAGTGAAGTGCATTTATAATAGTCATATGCACCTTAAAGCACCTATTACCGTTAGTAAAATTATAAACAGAATATGAAAACATAAATGTTGGGGCAAAGCGATTATTTTAATGTTAATTGGACAACTATTGACTTTCATAATATTATAAATAGTATAAAAAGTACAATTTAAATTAGGACTATAGATTCTTATATAAATTTTGTATAACTTTTAGCATTTAAAATGTTTCAATATTTATCAAGTTATTTTGTACATTTTATATTGTAACATATTTTTTCATAGACCTAATAAAATATAATTAGATTTTCTTATGATAAAAATTAAAACCTGTATTTGTATAATACATAAGATATCTATATAATAAAATAATATATCAGATAATTAATTATATTATAGGTTAAATTAATCATAGTAACAAACAGAATATCCCCACATTTAATATTTGTATCTAAAAGTCCAAGTCCAGTTTTACACCAGAATCAAGGATAACAATTTAATAGTGTATGCATTTCTACTTTTATAGAGAAAATAACTATTATCTAATATTTATGGGAATTTTCTCAAATTATTGCATAATAAGTGTGTTTTCAGCCACATTAATATTTCATGTCTAGAAGTAATTTATAATTGTATCTCTAATCCGGGTGCTTTAGGGACTTCCTTAACTAAATGGAAAAATACTAATTATTGTATAAATAGTTTTAAAATTAAATCTGAATTATTTGTTAATAGCAAAAAAAGGAAAAAACTATTACATTACATATTATGTATACATACAGTAAAATAGTAAATAAATGATAAATTACGTAAACTCCTTATATTACACAAAACACATAACTTATAAGAACTTGAAACTAATATATTGACTATAATATTGAAGCAATATAAAATTTATCACACCATTAATTGTGATAGCGATTCATGGATTAAAATGCGAGTAAATGTATGGTTAAAAACATGTATAACTTATAAGAACTTGAAACTAATATATTGACTATAATATTGAAGCAATATAAAATTTATCACACCATTAATTGTGATAGCGATTCATGGATTAAAATGCGAGTAAATGTATGGTTAAAAACATGATAAGTCTGTCTACGAGTTAATTACAATAATAGATGTTTTGTTTCAATGTATTTCCAACATTGAAACTAGGCATACATTACATACTGTACATCTAATCACTAAATGTTTGCATTTAATTCAAGTTATATAATATTAATATAGCTGTGTGTAATTATCATGGTGGGATTTGAATACCAATTTCAAATCTGTTGCCTTTGAAAAAAGCCTTGATTTAAATCATAGTGTTTTTGTATTAAAGAGTTAAATACAACACATAATACACTCAATCGCTGGTGACATAACTCACGAATTATTTCAATTCGCTGTTTAAAGTCAATGAGTAATATAATCAACACTTTTTATACAAAGTGTTTATTTTATAAATACTTGGGAAATACGACAATTAAATAACATTTAAAATATAATTATTTATAAAAATATTGACTGTTTTTCATGTCTATAATGATGAACACCTCGAGCAAGAAATCAGCAAAAGTGGTGATATGTGCTGTTTGTGGCGATAAGGCTTATGGTATGGAAAGTAATGTATTTCCTTTATATACATATAAATATTGTACTTTCAATTCAAAGTTTACTTTCACTTTATTTGTCTACTATTTACTGATTTAAAATATATTTTCAATCACAATATTTATTTGCTCAGGCAGAAACTTTGGTGCCCTAACATGTATGCCTTGTAAAGCATTTTTTCGACGCAATGCTTATAATAATCAGGTTAATAAATAATAAT